ATAATTTGTATCACCCGACTTGTTGAAGAATTTTCCTTCCAAATATCTGGAAACATTTTTCTAAAAAGCATCTGTAATGAATGAACAAGGTAGCATAAACAAGTTTTAATGAAGAAGCTGAAAATCTCCTCAAGTCCGGTAGTTTTATACTCAACTTTAGCAATGGACATCAATAAATGAACACATTACCATCATTATTCTAAAAATTATTGCATTCAAATATGAAATTGAGTACAATCATTGATCATAGTGACATTTCTTACATTGAATATTTCCTTTCTTTCTTTCTTCTTACTTCATTATTCATGAAATGTACAAATGTGAACAAAAAATGTTATAAAAAAAAAATGAAAGGCATTAACCGTAGATATTTTGAAAAACATGGTGTAATATATGTCTCTGCAACTGCCAATTTGGTTATTAGGATTTTTGATAAGTATTAAATAATTTTCCTTCCTTACCCGTATCGGGTACATCTGTAGGTCTCATTATACGCCTGATCTGTTCCATTCCCTGTAAGTCCGGGCTAAGACCACCATGACAACAGAAGATTTTCTCATCTATTATGGCTGCAATTGGCAAGCAGTTGAAGCAATCCGTAAATGTCTTCCACAATTTTATATTAAATCTCCTTTTACCTAAACAAAATAGAAAAAAAAATTAAATATTACTTATATTTGAATGAGCAGAATTAGAAGCACTGGCACAAAATTATTCTAATGAAAACACTTTCTCTTGACCAGAACTTAAGCACTGTCTCTCAACGCGAATTTCTTCAACCAAGTGAATTCTCCTAATGATGCTAAATGTATTTCATGTCTGTATATAAGGTGAAAGGTCTTGAGAGTGTACACTACAATGACTGTTGAATTATCTCTAGGCATGACACCCCACCTTCTATACAAAGAAGAAAGAAGAGTTAAATTTAATATCATTGTTGATATTCAACTGCAAAAACTATTCAACATTGATNGTTCAAATACTAACAATTTATCAAATATGTGTGATATTTGTAACTGCAGTAAGAGTGAATTAAGAAATTGATCTCGAGCACATCTATAAGCAATTTGGGAATCAATCAAATGTAATATTTTTTTTTATTTTCATGTTGTATCCATGTCATCTTTTATTTGTTGTAACACTATTACTATACTTCTAAAAACACTGTGTCAAAGATAAGAATGAACAGCATGGGAATATCGGAAACGGTAAGTAATACGGGGTCAATTGAATTAGAGAAAAGTAGCGCATTTATGTACCTAATAATATGCTATTCAGAAAGTTAAAGTTTTAATATCATTCTGAGTAGTTTTAGAAATATTCGAGAAAATATAAAACAAATAGCACTTTCCCATGGCCACTTTTGAAGGACTACACAATAACGTAAGCAGAATTTTTCTGTGACGTTTCGCATTTTAGAAAACATCATCAACTTGGTATTTTTATATGCGCCGAAACTAAAGTATACCCTGTAAACGATTCCATTTTTTATTGTGAATACAGCAACGTATCACATAATATGATTTCATAACTATTTCTCGCGCAAAATGAAAAGTGATTAGTACTTAACCTGCTTTTGTGCAATTTTAGATAGTATGCACAGGAAAAAATGACACATAATATTCTGTTGTCATAATAATACTGTTGTTTGGTAGAATTTTTGATATATTACGGTTCCTACTTTTACATCTTGTTACCTACCTAATTTGTAATAAAAATGGAAAACGGCAGCTTTTCAAATACTGAAAAATTTGTATGTTGTCACATTACATTTTTTGCCAAAAAAAAATTATCCTATCAAATTTGTCTATTTAGTAAATTAACTTATGGAAGTGAGCAATCATGAAAACAAAAGCTTCTTAAGAGAAGTTGAGTAGATATGCCCATGTTCCCAAATTGCCATTAACAATTTACAACTAGATTGACAATACAGGAATTTTGAAAAATGAGAAGTATTTGTTTGTTTCTCTGCAGAAATTAATAATGAAATGTTTATCAGAAAATTTACGGAAATGAAGAAAATTTTGACCGGCTTGACATTTTTTGATGTCTGACAGTAATACGATAATGCACAGTATCAAAGCCGATGAACTTATAAGTTTATAAGTTGAGCCATTATATACATTGCAAAAAAGTTTCCCATTAGTTATCTATAATGAAACTCCATTTGTTACAATTTAATTTATAAGTTAATTTAGCTCGCATATGTACACCTTAAGTATCANATGAAACTCCATTTGTTACAATTTAATTTATAAGTTAAGTTAGCTCGCATGAGTACACCTTAAGTATCACTTACAGTGTTACCTTAGGCATGTTATCTTATAGATTATCAACTTTTAAGAATATAGGTGGAGGAATTCTGTCGAATTGAACAGATTCATTTTACAAGTCATTTTTGGATCTTGTGATTTTAAACTAATACAAAATATTTCTGTCAGCCCCAAATATTTGTATGAACTTCACAGAAATTTCTTTGAAAAGTGTATATTTTTAGGATAGTTTAGTTTTTGAGAAAGAATGTTTTAGCTTTTTACTTCTCCAAAATTCATGGTCATTGTCTATTCCTGACTTACATATTCAGAACATTTTTTACTAATCATTACACACACACACAAAAGTGAAATGACATTTGTGTAGACCTATTGATGAACACTTGCATTTCATTTCATACATAGTTGATGCCTGGGGCATCAATATTATTCTAGAAGTAATAAGGGAGTCTGCTACAACGTTTGTTCTCTAAAACTGTGAATGTTGTCACATTCAATCAATAATGTCCACACAGAGTTTATGTTTTCATCCTAGTAACAACCAGTCAGTCAATCTGTATTTTCAAATTTTGACATAAAAAAAATCATTTTAATGTATTCAAATTCAGAACGCAGTAATAACATTCGTCTTCAAAAATTAATTAACGAGACCAATGTAACCAAAATTTATTTATAGTTCAGATCCCTTGCAACTTCACTATGGTGTCTACCAAAGAGCTTATCTGTATATGTTCAGGAAATCTTAAAATTCCATTATAAGACAGCAATGCATTTGAATGTGATATATTATCGTAAAAAATACCTTCTAATAATCTCTGGATTAGACTATCCACATTTAACTCGGGTTCTGCCATTTTCGCTCATATATTCTTAGCACTGTACAAAAACACAAAATTGAATAAATAAACGTCACACTGTCAGCAGAGTCAGGAAAGGAGTGAAACGTCAAGTATCAACCTGGTTTCAAGCCATGTTCCGTTTCCCAAGCGTTAACCAAACAATTCACCAAAATTGGCAAAATGGTAAAAGACAAATGCGCCAAAAGTCGGTGAAAATATGAAAAATATACAGGACGACTGACGGAAGTGACAAATCTTGCCAGTTATTCTGCAAAATATAATTCAGATTAAGGTATCCTAGGCAATTAACGCCCACTTATTCAATAATTTCAAATCAATATATCATTTAATGAAATGATTGAATTGAAAAACTGTTTCGGAAAATAGTTTTATTGACAAATAAAGAATACAGACAACTAATACATTAGTGATATGAGTCATATAAGATTATGCAAACAAATACTTTTTGAATACCCTGTCATGGGCGTCATTGAACATACAGTTTTTAGTAACGCCCATATGTCAATATACGTATTATCTCAATGAACATAAATATTTCGACTTAGAGCCGTACAAAATCTAAAAGTATATTATATTGTCTTTTTTATATAGAATTATAATTATCATTATATGAACTACAAATACTACAATATTTAAATTTTGTAACACGTCCAACACATCTCGTCCCTTCTACTTAATCATCTTTAACAAAAAATCTCACTTCTAACATGAGCTATAACTATAGAACATCAACATCTAAAGGATTTTTAATAAATATATAGCACTGGTCTACAGTAGTTTTGTTGCCCTAGATATAAGATTGATTTTGGGTGTATTTATACTCACAATTCATGAAATTATCAATGGTTTTGTAAGATTTGCTCTCGTTTTCTTTTAAATATTTATTTTCATTTTACATTACAAAAATTCGAAAACAAGAAACAAAATAACAGATATATTTATAATCTC